CATTATTATTTTAAGAAAATGTTTTGGATATTTAATTATTTTTTAATATCAAGGAAAAGAGCTGTCTTAAAGCACCTAGAAACCCTTTTCTGATATTTCTAAATAAGTAAATATCTTACTTTTATAAATTATATCAATCTATTTTTTTATTTTTAGAAAAAATGTTTTTATTTATCATTTTTTAATATCGAAGAAAAGAGTTGTCTTAAGGCATCTAGAAGTCCTTTTCTGATATTTCTAAATAAATAAATATCTTAATGTATAAATTAATAGATTTTCTTAAAAATAAGTTTGAAATAACAGAATTATTAATTAAATATATTTTTGAATTTTTAATTTTTCAATAAATAGAGACAATTTATAATTAAAAAGTACCAATTTTGGGCGTTGTAAGGGTGCTAATCCTTCCCTAAACGTAACCGACCACGAATCCCTTTTTATTATTAAAAAGAACGAATTTTTGGTTAAAACGCAGATCAGTTCATCTTTTAACTGATGTTTTCTTAAAAACTCTTTTAAAAGATAATTTTTAGGTAATCGACCTACCTGACCCAAAAGGCCGATGGCGACTCCGAATTATTTTTTTTAAACCATTTATTCACATCACTTTTCCCGCCAAGTATTTAAAAATTCGTGCCCGGACGAAAAATGGTTACGACAGGCACAAATCAACTTATCTCAGTGGTTAAATGAATCGTTGTTGTTCTTAGAGATTATGAATTCGATCACTAGTGATTAAATTGAATTCTATTTTATTTTTTATTAATCTGACGTAAGTACAAGACAGTATCTGTTCAAAGATAATTCTCAACCTTTCGATATTAAACACTCACACATCTAGCATTTGTGGTGTGTGAACCCGAGTTTGTGATATTATACCACCCACGTTCTAACATTTTTTTAATTAATTATTTATATTTAATCTATTGATTTATTAATTCAGATTAGATGTTATATAAGTTTATTTTAAGAGTGATATTCGAATGCAATTTGTTTAATTTATAACGCTATATTAAATCTATGATCTATTAATATTTTCTTTTATAAAATTAGAGCAATCAATCATCATATATAATATAAAAAATAAATTGTACTAGCTGCCAAACAAAGCCCACCATTTGGTGGATTTTAGCTTTTAGGCATATAAAATTCATCTAGTTTTAGGTAGGGCTCATACTTTAACGATATTACAGAGGTTAAATAATAAATAATTGATTAAAATATTTTTAAATCCCTATACCCATAATTTTGTTAAGTAATATTATTATTCAGATTATTACTTTTCTGTTAAATGAATGCTGAGCTGGTATTTTTATTTAAAATATCACATCAACAAATTCAAAAAAAAAATTCAGTTTTAATAATTAGATTGGATCTTTAAATATGAAAATTAAAGGAAGTGTTTGAAAAAATAAAAATGAAAGGATTAAATTGTAAATGCATGAAGAGTAATGTATTTCAACTTAAAGTATTCCATAAAGATTGCCATGGAAAGGTTAATCATGATTTATTCATCTTTATAGTCTGTAAACATAATTGCCTTTGCCGTCCCTTAGCTTATCATTAGATTGCAAATATTGGTTTATCGTTCACGTATTTTATAATTAAATATAAATTATTATAACTCTACCTATTTTTCTTTTGATTTTGTTGGTGATGACATCAGTCTTACCGTTTTATTTCGATATTGTGGTACGTTTCTTTTATCTTATAGCACGTTGTTTGCCTACCTCTCTAATAGATTTGCAATTTTCGTTTGTATATGATTTGTGATTGTCAATGACCTTTCAGTAGTTAGATTCTCTTTTGTGATTGTTTATCGATGTATTCAGATCTATTTTGCGAAGCATTTACTTTGATTCGTTCGTTACTCCATCATTTGTAAAACATTTAGTTTGATTGAGACAAATGAGTACTATTGACGATCACTATGTTACTATGAACGATGAATGTCAGATTCAAAAGAATACTTCGACTGTTATTATGTCTTTGAGTTTTCTTTTTTATTTTATTTTATGTTTGAGTTTTTTGGTGGGCATAGTTAGGCATGTAAACGAACCGAACGCACACGAACGGAGGTATGTTCATGTTCGTTCATTTAATAAATAAACGAACATAAACGAACACGAATATAAACGAACAAAATTTTTTTTTGTTCATGTTCGTTCATTAAGGAATATAGCTTGTTCATGTTCGTTCATTTAATAAATAAACGAACATAAACGAACACGAACGAACGAACATAAACGAACACAATAAACGAACAACACAAACAAAAAAAAAACTTATTCGAACACAACAAACGAATGTAAAAAAAATAAACAACAAGAATAACAACTTAAAATTCATTAATATAACCTGCAACTTTAGAGTTAATTTGTTCGAATACGAAAAAAACATACATAAATCATAAATAAGCTATATGAACATAATAAAATCTTAAAGTTAATTTGTTCAACAAAACAATCTTCTTGAAATCCAAACAACTTCAATAATCTTCGTAACATATTCAACTTGCCCTCTGTTCGAACATAAATGAACGAACATAAATGAACGAACATAAACGAACATATAATCGAACGTTCACGAACGTAAATGAACGAACGAGCCCTTTGTTCATGTTCGTTCATTTAATTAAACGAACGTAAATCTTGTTCATGTTCGTTCATTTAATAAATAAACGCACATAAACGAACTTCCCGCCGCACGGTTCATGAACGGTTCGCTAAATGTTCAGTTCATTTACATGCCTAGGCATAGTCCCTAAAATTCTCTCTTTAATCAGTCACATTATTAAGGCTGTATCTTCTTTGTTTTAATAAATTCAATATGGTTTCAAGATTTAAAAAAAATATAAATTTATTAGAAACATTGGAGATTTATTTTTGGAAGTTCTACCGTAGGGCGACCTTAATATACGGTAAGGAAATGCGCTATCGGTTTTGTTATTATTTTTTTTAACAAAATCTATAAAAACAATTACCTAAAACATTATTGTTTCTACCTAAAACATTAATGTTTTTTAACATTTCCGGTAAAATGCCCAATAATAACAAAACCGTAGAAAAAAATAACAAAACCGATAACACTTTACCGGATATGTTAACAAAACTGGTAAAGTGCCCAATAATACAAAACCAGTAGAAATAATAATGTTTCTGATAATTTTTATCGATTTGTTAAAAATAATAACAAAATAATAACTTTTCTTAGCCATATATTAATTGTCGCACGTGAACTTTTCAATTATTTTATTTTATGGGAGTTTAAAAATTGTAATATATTTTATTTATTAAAACAACTTTTTGATTTAGCCCAAACTGTTCCGTAGATTCCCACGCGTTACCACCCATTCGCCGCTTTGTTCTCAAACAGTTCTCACCCGCTGGGCGAGACAAGCTACCTTTAGCTAGTAGCCTTTTTTCCTTCCTCTTAGCTCCTTGAAAACAATGTTTGACTTGCATGTGGTAAGCATATAGCTAGCGTTCATTCTGAGTCAGGATCAAACTCTTTTTTTGAGTATGATAGAGCCTTTCAGTGATAGAACCTGGTGAATCGGCGGGCGTATTACTTTTCAAACTTATGTGGACCTTTTTCTTTAATGGGTTTTTCTATTTCTTTAGAAAAATGACTAGTTGCTCAACTAATCCACTTGTGGTGCTATTGGTATAATAGTAATGTATGTATATCAAAAATGCTCGAAGTCGGTTACATATAGGGAATTACTAGCACCCTCACAACATTTTAAAATCGGTACCTAATCGATTAATTGTTATCTTTACAATCAGTACAAAATTCAAGATCTGACGACTCAATCTATTTAGCTTGTTGACCTACGAATAGTCATAATGATCGTATGTCTAACACCGTCAACTAGAGTCATTATAAATACCTCTCAATTATAACTAGAAGTTGGTGTTCTCCACAATCATCTTCACACACTCCCATCCCTTCAATTCTCTCACAGAAAAATACCAACCAACAGTTATACTTTTACTAAATGCGACCTCCGTCTAAATCAAAAGAAGTGAACAGTCAACGACGGACGAGATAAACTTATTCTCATTTAATTATATTTATATTAAAAATTTATTTATAATAATTTAAATAAAGTTATATTTTTCATCCATTAAATGAACATATAAATTAAGTCACCCAACTACCGAAATGAAATATGATGCATGATTATTGTAGAATGGGAAGCCAAGGCCAAGCATGTGTTCAACGACATTAATTACCCCAAACATACCACTTGCTATAATTATAAAAACCTTTGGAGAGACATGATTAGCATCATGTAGCCTCTGCCTGCTCAAAATGATCTTCAACAATGACTTTAGGATACATCTCAAGTTCATGTTAACTTAGGATCTGCATTAAATTCTTTTCCTCCCTAGCTACTATAAACCAACGCAACAATAATATTCCAATATATAAATTAAAATTAAAATATATAAATAAAAAAGAATTCCTAATTAAAGATTTCATATATACTTATACCTATAAGTAATATTCAATGACCGATGTATGATTTTATGTTAGGGAATACAAATTATATTATACTTATTTGAAGAATAAAACATCAATTATTCGAGACGATATTTCTTAAAAGCCAAATTTATATAATCATGAATATTGACGAATACCTATAAGTTCACGACGGTATTCGATTTTTCCGGCGAATTTTATATATTCCGAGGGTTATTGGTTTTGATTGCTTTAGTTTTGCTCTTGCATTGAATCTTGAACGAGCTGAGATTGAGGGAAAATATGTAAACAAGTTTGAACCGTTTATATAATCATGCTTACATGGATGATTTCATGTCACATTAGTTAGATGCTGATGATTTCAAAGCTTTCAATTCTTGATTAGATGGTCTTATAAGATGAATGTTCTTCGATAATCTGCATCTTTAAGCATTGATATCTTTGGTACCTTTTCATGACAGTTCACTTGATGAATGAAGTCAGATGAGTTTCTGATCATGGTGTTATTTCAGTATGTGATACTGTTTTTTTTTAATTAGTGAAAACTGGATAGAGATCGGAACGATGATGGAAAACAAAAGGAGCCCTTGCTCTGTTGATCATACCAGTTTCACTTCTTTGGCATCGAAACGACAGAAGTCCGACTTATCGATCCCCACCAAGGTATTTAGCCTTCTTTACTCAAATTTAGTCTCCTCTTAGGATATATATCTTCTAGTCATTTCATAGTTATACTAACCCTTTTTCGAAGGAAGATGCCTAATTTATATCCGCATGGCATAAACTACATTCTCTCGACTTATTTTAGGGGTTATATTCTCGAATATGGTCACGATTGCGTCTTCTGCTATTATTATTTTATCTGCAATGTCAAATTGGTTTCTAGCAATGCAGAGTTTCATCTCTTCATTTCTTCTTTCTGCATACTAATTATTTTAACAGATACAGCTTCTGTTCTCTTGGAAGCAATGGAATACATACGGTTTCTTCACGAACAAGTTAAGGTCGGTTTTTCTTGTCCGTTTTACCTAAATTATCATAGCATGCGTATTAGTTGGTGTTAGTTGCAATTTCTAAATGCATGCTTCTAAATCAGCAATTGAAAATTCAGTGAACATATACAGCCTATTAATGGCTTATGATTTACCAGTTGCAGTTATGATTTTAATTATCGTTGTAACATATTAATGGCTATGACCTTGGTCAGGTTTTGAGTGCTCCGTATCTTCAAACCGGGCCGATAAATAACATGCAAGCGGAACCAGGTACACAAAGAAATTAGGATATGTAAACATAAAGCCCTATTTACTTCTCATGCTCAACCATTTGTCATCATTTATGTTGAAACACAATGGAACCATGAATTTAGGGAGCCATCATTGGAAAATTATGGTCGGATTTTAAATCGGTTTTTCTTCCAGGATGTAGAGCATTATAGCCTGAGAAGGCAAGGACTATGCCTCGTTCCAATATCGTATACCGCCGGAGTTGCTCGTAGCAACGGTGCCGATATTTGGGCTCCCATCAAGACCACATCGCCAAAATTCGACAAGGCTATCTCACCATTCAATTGACATTTTTCATCGGCTACCGATAGTCTTTGAACATCACTTGAATGGAGTTTAAAAGGTAACCAACTTAATATCGGATGTACAAAATTTCCTAATGCACTAATACAGGATGTTTGTAGGCAAAAACTATTAGGCCTTGGTCCGTAGGATTCTGGTATCGAAAATGCAGTCCGACACCTTCGTCGTTTTAATTCGGTGCTCGGATTAAGCTGCATTTAATCAATTCGATTATAGAAGTTAATTATCGTCTAATTTGATACGATAAATTTATTATAAAGCCTTTATTATTTTTAGAAAATACTTTATAAAAGTAGGTCTCCTAATTTAGGGTTGATTAAGATTAAATTAACATAAGAAAGTATGTCACTATCAACATCATTTTTCTTTTACTTCCTATTCTTTGAGGTTAATGTTTTTTTTTCATTAGTGCATGCTGATGAAGATACACTAGGAAAATTAATTAAAACTATCAAGGAATGGGTTTGATTTAAATCGATATATTATTTATTATTTATTGTTTTTATAATTTAAACACTTATATTTTTAAAGTTAATTTTATTATTTATTACAAACATCATAAGTTTGAAGGTTTACTACAACCTTTATTTAAAGTTTTTATATGGGAAAAACTACAAATCTGTCAACAATTTGCAGGGACCTGTAGTTTTACCATTTTTAAATGGCAATCGATGTGGGCAGTTTTGAATCTTTGTAATCACTTGGGAAGACGAAGTCGGTCGAGCGTAACACAAACGAATCTCCCACAGTTGCAGTCCTCCAGTTTGTTTCTGTTACAAGCAATTTCAGGTGATGCTTTTGTATGGCTCTGAATTATTTTTATAACATCTTGAACCATATAACGGTTTCCTGGTGTAAGTCCCGTAGCTGAATCAAAATAAGTTAGAAATTGTGTTAGGAAGATGAATTATCAACTATTTAATCTTAAAAATTGTTGTATATAATAATAATAATATGATAGTGAAACCCATAGATATTACATCATTCCAACTTTTCAACCATCTTATACATAAACTCAATAACAGAAGATATAAAAGCAAGTACAAAGGAAACATACTCACCTGGATTTGTTAAGCCTTGTCTAAGCGTTAAGGCAGATTTGAAGTAATCAAGAGGATTATTAGGGTAATAATAATAATAATATGATAGTGAAAACCCATAGATATTACATCATTCCAACTTTTCAACCATCTTATACATAAACTCATAACAGAAGATATAAAAGCAAGTACAAAGGAAACATACTCACCTGGATTGTTAAGCCTTGTCTAAGCGTTAAGGCAGATTTGAAGTAATCAAGAGGATATTAGGGTAATCAGAACATGTTCCATGCTTTAACCATTCAGTCTCCCAAAAGCTAGTAACCGGTTGGAGTAACAGGGATTAGTGGCTGCGTTGTAAGGGGGAATCGGAACGTCGTGGCATCTTGAGGCCATATACGTGGATGGTTAAGACAGTCGGGATGGGAGTACCACAACCATTCTGCCGGAATTACACACAGCAAGAGGCCATTGGAGACTGAGTTTATAAAAATGTATGGGGGGTTGAGCTGTAACTAGAACCAAGAAACAAATCACCAAAACAACCACCAACTTATAATTCAATTCTACAGGTATCCCGTATCCTGTGTTCGTACATTTCGGATATAGGTACGAGAATAATCCTATAAGGACCCTCCAACAACATGAAAAAACTATCAAAATACTCATATTCGACACTCACATCCAAGCACAAACAACCTAAAACAAGACCTCTGCAAGACTGCAATCCATTTACCTCTAAAACAAATAACTAAGGTCAAGAATGAAAATCATCACACACAAAAAGGTCTTGAATTCCAACTCTTAAATTGGAAAAACAAACATGCAAACCAAAGCTAACTCTTATAAGCACAAACAGAAGCTCATATGAATTATCATATATATGCAGAAAAAGACAACAATTTCCAGAAATATTCCACAAACGAAACGCTTTCAAGAAAGTAGTACTACCCATTTACCCCTGCAATACCCTTAACAATGGCTTCACACAAAACAAGACCAAACCATGACACTGTTTCATTGGATCTAAAGTACATATAATAATAATAATAATAGTTCCTATGTTCAACTTCAATTACATTCAAACTATTGGGGACGTTGAGCTCTCAGAAGCAAATTCAAGTTCGAAGAGCACTCCGTGTGTGGCATATATATGCACATGCAATCATGATACGCAGGTCAATAAAACTGCATATCAGAGTTAACAACTAAGAAAATCTATAGGACGTAATTTTGTACATCCACTAAAATAACCAAAAGCAAAGAGAAACCTAAACAAGTCAATACCTAGGGCATGTATATACAATTCAAATAAAAACAACAATATTTGAGAACATCACTAGACAATATAGTTGACATAAAGTGCATAGGAAGAGACCAAATCCCATTAAATCTTACCTATTTTGTTGTAGCTCCCCATCCGACTTAATGTTCAACATCAATTTGTTTCACCTACGGCTGGCCGTCGTATTATACATTCCTCATGCTCTGATCTTCCATTCAATGGAACCAAGCTCTCAACATAAGCAAACAATGTGCATTGTTCCTTATAAGCGGGAATACAGCTTTCTAAGCTCTTGTATGGACGGATCAATAAAACTAGTTCTTGATCCGAGCTCTCGAGAAACAAACTCGCCATTTTTCCAAAACCCCAAAGGCCTCTAATCCAACAACAGATTCAACATGAATTGTTTAGTCCATGACCCATTCATAACCCATAAATCAAAAGACTTGTCAGTTACTTCCCTTGGGTAAAAAAGAGCACCAAGCAATCCATTGAATTCCAAAAGTTCCAAATAATATTGTTCTAAACTCCCACCAAATTCAGGCAGTGGTGAAGTTGAAAACTTTTCATTAACCATATCAACGAAAGAATATGGTGATCAACTGCAATTGCTCGCAAAATAAACCCATTGACATAATTATTAAACAAAATAGAAGCAAAGCATAAACCCCAGGAAATGAATTTTCCTTCCATGAATCGCTTTTAAGCGAATATAACTCAACTTGTCTGGTCCAATCTGCCAACAACCCTTCATCTAGATTCTCTTCAAAGTAATTAGTAACATATCTTATACATTTGAAGTCATCGGTTTGAGAATCATACCCAAAACCAAGGAAATTAAAACTAGAGAAATCCAGTAGTCCAGGAGGGCGTGGACTGTTGATTGAGGAAGGATTTTAAACTCTCTGGTAGATGGGTTCCAAAGGGCACATTCTGACCAGTACTACCTCGTTCTGATAAACACAATATTCCATTACAAGGGCCATGAACGAAAGGTCCATCCACAAAATTCTCAAAAAAGGGTAAGGAATATTGTGTTTTACTCTAAAGTTTTGGTCTTTCTCGGTCGAAAGTTGAGAAATAATGGATGTCATCAGGGGTGCCACCATGACAACGTTTGAGGAGGAGATTAAGGTTATTGTTTTTGAGGTTGTTCTGATGATGTTTGGTAATGAAATGAGGGGTTTCAAAAGATGAAGACCAGGGCTTACAAACACCCCTGAAACGGGTCAAGGATTTAACAGAAGCTTTGAGAGAATCTCCAACACCAACATCTCTGGTAATTCGGTTCTAGTTTTGATCAACCCCTGCATCTCCCTCTTTATCTTCTCTATTTCCTTTGTGTTTTCAATAGATGATTTTGTTTGGGGGAAAGAAGATGAGAACTAAAACGAAAGAAAACCAAGACAGACAAACTTATAACAGGTAACGTCAACGTTTTTCTGTAACAAAAAACTTCAATACAAACTGATCATTGGTTATACTATTTTGATGGGCCCTTTTAAAAACCCATTAGCTTAGACAGGGTTGTACAATATTAATAATATTTTAATAATTAAAATAATATTAATAATAATAATATATCTATAATCATTTATTATATTTTAAATGATTAAAATAATCGATTTATAATAATTACTACATTTTTTACTATTAAATAATATTTAACATTATAAAAATAAAAAAACCTCTAAAACTTTAATATATTATAAATATAAATGAGTAATTAACAATTTATATAAGGTCGGGTTGGATTAGTGATTTTTTTACCTAAAATAGTATCTCCCAACTTGATCTATATATTATATAACGTCATGCCGAACTCGAAATTTCAATAAACAAATACTGTTTTTTTCGTAACAAGAAAATAATCATAGGTGACACTACATTGACGGGTCTGGCCGAGCCTTTGGTAACTTCTAAAATTCATGAGCTTAACATAGGTAGGGTTGGCACAATATCATTCCGTAAACAATTAAAATATCAAATATTATTATGAATTTTATTAAGGGTAAATTATACAAGTGATATCTTACGTTTTTTATTCGTCAGTTTTTGTCACCGATTTAAAAAGTTTTTAGTTTTGGTCACTTTTATCTTTGGTCCTTATTGTTGGTAAAAATGGTTAAATTTTAATTTGAACTCTGAATTTAGACAAAAATATTAATTTGACCTTAAATTTTACATAAAATACTAATCTAACTCTTAAACTCTATATAAAATATGAACTGACCCTTAAATTCAGTCAAAGTTAACGTCTCTACTCGCCATTCATCGTCGTCATCGCCCATCGTCAGTTTTCATCACTAGTCATCGTCGTCGGTTGTCATGTCAACACGCGTCGCCCATCTTCATCTTCATCTTCATCGTCGTCGGTTCATCTTCACCCCTAAATTCATACTTTTTTGAATCAATTTAAATGTCTAGTGTTATTATTTAGGTGTCTCATTCCTCTTAGTCGTTAAAAATTTCATTACTAATATTTGTCGCTTTTTTAATATTTTTAAATTTGTATTTAAAATAAAATAAAAACTTAAAATTATATTTTTAATTAAAAAAACTCAAATTTTAATACTTTGAAAACTCTAATTCAAGTAGTTGGTGAGAATTTTGAGAAGGTTTGTAAGTGAAGTAGGGTGTGAAAGTCAAAGTTCAACAATGACGTTAATGCAGAGTTTGGACTTTTTGTTAATACTAATAAGTCAAAGTTTTCTCACTTCGTTGTACTACCACACATGGTGCATGTTCCCAACGGCATTTTGTTAATTCAGCCACAATTTTCTTTAACAAATTCTAAATGTAATTCTAATAGTATCAAAAAGAGAGGGAAAAAAACTTTAGTGAAAAATAGAATGATTCTAGTGAGTTTAAAACTCATGATCGGTCAAATATGTTTGTTCTAATTTAGCCATAAATAATTTAAGGGTGCAACGCGAGTCAGTTTGGATTAGTCAAGGCAATGCTTTAAAATCGGGAGGACAATAAAAAAAATATTTTTTTAGAGTAAATACTCATATATTAAAAAAATATCTTCAAGATAGATATAAATTAAATTTTAAGATATATATAATTTATAAAATAAATAATTAATTAGAAGTTTGAATTTCAAAATGTGCAATTACCCTGAATATGACATTCACGGATGAAACATAGTTTCATCCAAGGCCACTATCACTTCTAATTTTTTTTATTAAAATTATATGTATATATTAAATTAAAGCTCTTTATTTAATCTTATCGTTCTCATCTTTTATAATTAATTATATATTATATCCTCATATTTTATGAGTATTTATACTTTGTCTCCTTAAATTAAAATCATGATTCCGTCCTCATAAACGTGGTTCTACCGCTGTTACTTCTTATATATT